GCGCTGCGCAGCATGTGCCGCCGGTACGAGCGGCGTAACGGGAGGACACGCGAACGAAAGAGGACCTTGAACGTCGAAGCATGAAGGTGACCCCCGCCCACCGTCACCGTCACCAAGCATCCCCGTCGCTACCGCCCTCCACACCCGCCGCCCTATGGTTCACACTCGTCTTTGCCCAGAACACATGACAGAGCATTAGCGGGGGCGGGAGTGACGCGTGTGAAGAACTGGGAAATGTTCAGTACCTGTGTTGCAATGCTCAGCCGGATGGTAATTGGCAATCTCTGCCCGTCTGCACACCGGTTCACCGCGCTGCGCGCGCGCGCGAGGCGCGTGTGCCCGAGTGCCTGGGCGTCAATCACATCAGTCATGAGTCATCACCTTCAGAGAGCGCGTCTTCTCTGTGTCCAGCTAATTACCTTCCCAGCCGCCAAACGACAGCGCTCGGTCTCGTGTGTTGAAATAACGCTCGAAACACCGCGAGCGAACCCCCCCTGCCTAGCACAGCGCTGCACGACACCTCCATCACCAGCGTCCGGCCCTGCACTCTGCCACTGCGGCCCTCCAACCTCTCAGCCCGGCGCCTGGATGCCGAGGCTCGCGAGGTCGTCGTGCGGCATGTAGCCCAGCGAGAGCGTCTCGAGGGTCTCGCGCTCGAGCAGCCGCTCCGCCTCCGCCTGCTCTCACCACAGCAGGAGGCGTGAAGAGGCGCAGAGGGGGGGAGGGGGGGGGGGGGGCCCACCATCCAGGAGGGGAGCCGCCGCGGCAAGTCCCCCCCCGTGAGGGAGATGCCGGCCTGGTCGAGCCGCTTGCCCCAGTCGCCACCGAGGACGGCGAACTTGGCGGCGGTGATCGGGTGGATCCACGGCTTGATGATCGACCAACCGGTGCGGAAGACGAGGGGCCCCTAAAGCAGGCGAGGAGACGCCCGCTCCTCTCCATGCCTGCTGGGCTGTGGGGCGGCGCCAAGGGCGGGGGGGGTAAGGGGGGGGGGGGGGGGGGCACGTTGATGATGTAGAACTGGTAGACCGTCTCGGGGTAGTACCAGCCAAACAGCTCGTTCACCTGGGTGGCAGCGACACGCGCCGAGATGCGCCGAGATGCGCCGAGATGCGCCGAGATGCGCCGAGATGCGCCCACCTCCTTGATGAGGGAGAGGAGGCGCTTGTTCAGGTGCGCCACGCCCATACCGCGCAGGTCGAGCACGTACACGACCTAAGGCCAGGCCAGGTACACTTCTCCACACACACACAACGTGGTGGGGCAAGGGCCAGGGCAGCCCCCTCGCGACTCCGCGTCTAGAGGACAGGAGCTAGCACGGCATTCAAAGTGCAAGGCCCGGTGCGCGTGGGTGAGCGGTGTGAGTGTGTGTGAGTGTGTGTGTGTGTGTGTGTGTGTGTGTGTGTGTGTGTGTACGCCACCTTGTACAGCCGCCTCCCCTTCGCCTTTGAGTTGGCGGCGTTGTACAGCCGCGCAACCTACGTGCTGAGTCCGCCAGCCTCGGGGCGGGAGATATGGGGAGATATGGGGAGATATGGGCAGCCTACGTGCTGAGTCCGCCAGCCTCGGGGCGGGAGATATGGGGAGATATGGGGAGATATGGGCAGCCTACGTGCTGAGTCCGCCAGCCTCGGGGCGGGAGATATGGGGAGATATGGGGAGATATGGGCAGCCTACGTGCTGAGTCCGCCAGCCTCGGGGCGGGAGATATGGGGAGATATGGGGAGATATGGGCAGCCTACGTGCTGAGTCCGCCAGCCTCGGGGCGGGAGATATGGGGAGATATGGGGAGATATGGGCAGCCTACGTGCTGAGTCCGCCAGCCTCGGGGCGGGAGATATGGGGAGATATGGGGGGATATGGGCAGCCTACGTGCTGAGTCCGCCAGCCTCGGGGCGGGAGCACGGTGTCGTGCAGAGTCTTCAGAGCAGCGCGTGAGTACGAGCGACACAGACACAGTGAGTACAGCGGAGTACGGCCGAGTACGGCTGAGTGCGTGTCCTCTCGAGCGTGGTTGTTGGAGTGCGAGAGTGCGGGCTCCGCTTCTAGGGCCCGCCACCTCGCGCGTGTACGCCTGGTGCTGGATGTAGCTCTCCTGAGGCAGGGCAGGGTCGATGGAGAGGTGGCCCTCGTCCGCGTCGGAGGAGATATGGGGAGGTGTGGGGAGGTGTGGGGAGGTGTGGGGAGGTGTGGGGGGGTGTGGGGAGGTGTGGGGAGGTGTGGGGAGGTGTGGGGAGATATGGGGAGGTGTGGGGAGGTGTGGGGAGATATGGGGAGATGCGGGGAGGTGTGGGGAGATGCGGGGAGATGTGGGGAGGTGTGGGGAGATGTGGGGAGGTGTGGGGAGATGTGAGGAGGTTTGGGGAGATGTGGGGAGGTGTGGGGAGATGTGGGGAGATGTGGGGAGGTGTGGGGAGATGTGAGGAGGTTTGGGGAGATGTGGGGAGGTGTGGGGAGATATGGGGAGACGGGTCATTCGATGTGCAAGGTGCGCGAGTGCATGAGTGCGCGAGTGCGGGTGCGGCCCGCCTCCGCAAAATGCTCAAACAGCCTCCCCACGTCCGTCTGGCCGATCCGCTCGCAGAGCACGACGTGGCCGTCGCGGTCAAAGCCGACGGGTCCTACGCGCTGAGTGCACCGAGGTCAGGGCGGGGCTGCGGCATCGTGCAGCGTACTCAGAGCAGCGCGTGAGTACGAGGGGGTACGAGTGCAGTGAGGACAGCGGAATGCGGCGGAGTGCAGCGGATTGGTTGTCCTCTCGAGCGCGAGTTGGAGTACAGGAATGCGTGCTTGCTTCTAGGCGACGTGGCCTGAGGGGCAAACCTCCTCGAAGAGCGCGCGGTCCAGAGGCGGGTCGCGCACCAGCCGCCCCACCCCCACCTGTGGCCAGTCAGTCAGTGAGTGGTACGCGCGTCCCTGGCGCGGACGACGGGGCCACACGCACGGAGGCAAAGAGAAAGGGCGCATTGCTCACGAGGGCGGTGTGTGCTATCTCAGGGAGAGGCATCACCGCAGGCAACAGTGCGGTCGCCTCACTCTCTCTCGAGTGTCACCTGCGGACGACGGAAAGACAAGGCGGTGAGTGTTGGCCTGGCTAGGAGACACGCAAGCGGCGCTCTCCCACCTCCAGCCCTCCTCCGCGCCAACTCCCGGCCTCCCTCGACCGATCTCGACCGATCTCGACCAGTCTCAATCGCGTCGCATCTCGGCGGCATCTCGGCGGCATCTCGACGGCATCTCGGCGGCATCTCGGCGGCATCTCGGCGGCATCTCGGCGGCATCTCGGCGGCATCTCGGCGGCATCTCTGGCCCGCCTCCTCCCGCCAGCCGAGCGCGCGCTCCAGAAAGACAAAGGCGCACTCTGCCCAGTCGGCGCGGTACGCGTACCTAGTGACCACTCGGTGCCTCGAGACCTCGCGAGTTCTGTGACTCGGGCCGGCCGGCGCGGTGACGCGTGCCCGCGGATGAATGTGACGAGGAGGTCTCGCGGCGTAGTGGCGAACCGCGCCTCGCCAAGCCAAGCGCGGACCTGCGGGGAGGTATGGGGAGATGTGGGGAGATGCGGCGGTGGAGGGGGGCGGGGGAAGGCGCGTACGCCGAAGACTGCGAACTGATGGCGGCGGCGGCTGTTGTTGTTGTCTTAGCAAGACCTCCCCAACTCTCGCCGGACCTGCCGCATCTCGCCGCATCTCGAGCACTAGTGCGTCTCAGGGTCCATTCCGACCTCTCAGTGCGCGCGAGTGCTCATTAGCGCGCATTCCCTCGCACCATTCTGCCCTGAGTCGCGCGGCATCTCGCTCTACCATTCGCCTTTTGGGCTACCTCGAGCTCGGGAGGCGAGAGGAGCGCCCACTCGCACGCCGGTGCAAAGCCCTTCTTTGGCACCTGCCCCGCCCGCAGCGCCGTGCTCAGCCGTTGCCCCGCAGCGCCGGTGTGTGTGGCCGAGATGTAGCCGAGATGTGGCCGAGAGAGAGCGAGAGCGAGAGAGCGAGAGAGCGAGAGAGCGAAAGAGAGCGAGAGAGTGAGAGATCGAGAGATCGAGAGAGAGAGAGAGGGAGGGAGGGAGGGAGGGAGGGAGGGAGGGAGGGAGGGAGGGAGAGGGAGGGAGGGAGGGAGGCGTGGGACAGAGCCGAGAAGTCGCGTGTCGCCGAGGAATGTCGTGTGTGACTGTCCGTTGCTGTCGTGCGATTTCGGGCCGGAGGTTGTGCTTTGTGTAGTGCTTTTGTGTAGCCGAGCGGACGTGGCCGATGAGCCGAGATGCGGTACCCTGGGACGTGCGGCTACGGTGCTGGCGGCGCACGTCTGGCAGCAGATTGTCGAGCGTCGGCTTGCGTGCCAACTTGACGCCGACGGAGGAGGCGCTCGGCCGCGGCGACTGAGAGGGACGGGGCAGGCGGGTGGACAGGGCGTCTGGGAGGTGCTTGGCGAGCTCTTGGAGCACGGAAGCTCGCGTGTGTGGCGCAGGTTCGGCAACGGAAGCTCTCAGAAGGTTTTGCCTGCTGCGGCTGCACTTCGCCGCCGGCGGCGGCGGGGACGGAGGCGACGGCGGCCGAGGTGAGGACGAGCTTGAGCTGCGACTGGATCTTGGCGAGCTGTGTTGTGAGGAGGTAGAGCAGCACGACCTGCGCCAGCATGAGCACCTCTGGCCAGCGCGAGAGGCCGGCGCTGTCCATAGCAGCGGCGAGGCTAGCGGGGCCTGTTTGACACGCGCGGGCGATGTGCCGTCAGACTCCGTCCTGGCCCTGGCTTAGCACGTTGTGGCTTGCTGCCGGCGAGAGCCCGCGGAGCTTCAGTCGTGGGTGAAGAAGAATTTTCACGCGCAATCCTACGCGGCGTGACGTCCTCCCACTTCTCTCGCGTCGGCTCCGCCGAGCGCTGCACAGAGACCATCTTCACTGACCACCAACGACAGGTGTGCGACTACGCGCTCGTCTACGCGGAGAAGAAGAACGACGGCGAAGCGCCGTACTCGGTCTCCTTCACCGCGACGCAGAGCGGCGACGTCATCGTACAGCTGCACCCGCACTCGCAGCTCGAGCGCGCCGTGCGCCACGAGCGGCAGGCGCAGGCCACGGAGCCGCCTGCGAGCGCGAGCCCTGCGGCGCCGCCCGCCCCTGCCGCCGCGCCGCCAGCCGCGGAGCCGGCGCCCAAGACGTACGCCGCCGCAGCCGCATCGCAGCCGCAGGGTGCCACCGCGGGTGGCCAGCCCGCCGCGCCTGCGGGCCCGGCCGCCGCCGCGCGCGTGCCGCCGCCGCCCAGCGGCGGCGGAGTGCGCGGCTGCTCCTTCACTGTCCCTAATCCGGGAAGGAAGCGCGGGCAGCAGCAGCGCGGCAAGGGCCGCAGTGCCAGGGGCCGTGCCGATGCTGGACCCCGTCTCGTTGACAAGAACGCGCTGTCCGCGCGCGGCAGCGGGCCCTCGCGCCAGTCGCGCTCGCCGTCGCCCGACTCTCCGCCCGCCAAGCGGGCCGCCTCCGCTGACTCGTCCGGCTATGAAACCGATACGCCGGACGAGGTGCAGCAGGAGGCGGTCCGCAGGGTATGCGGCGCGCTCGGCATGAGGGAGCAGTTCGAGGCGGCGATGGCGGCGGGCGAGCTGCTCGAGATGCTCGAGAGCTTGCCGCGAGGGGCGGTCGAGGCCTCTGTCCGACAGATGCGGGGTTACAACCGCACGGGCGAGTGGCCAGAGCCCATTCTCACCAGCCCTGCCCCGCAGCGCGGCCGCTCGCCAAGCCCCGTCGATGAGTGGTCAGATGGTTAGTGCCCGAGAGCGAGGGGTCCGGGGGGGAGCACAAACATAGGACGCCCAGCCTTGCCCTCGTGCCGCCGAGTGCATATCCTGTGCGAGAGAGATCCCCTGTGCCCTGTGCCCAGCCCTCTCCGCGCGGCGATGCGCCCTCCCCCCTCGCTTTTGCAAAATCCTGCAAAGGTGGGGACGTGTCTGTCCTCGACCCAGCCCTAGCTTGGGATGTCCGTTATATTTATTTATTTATTTATGACGTCCTCCCATCGTCCTTACAAGATCCTGCTCGTGCAGGTGGGGACCCTGTCCTCTCTGGGGGGGCGCGGGGCCCCTAGGGGGTACCCATGCGGGGGGGCGATGGGGTCCAGGGCGGGAGCCCTGGCGGGGTGCGGGGCAGAGCCCCGCGAAGAAAATTTTGCGGATTTTCTTTGTTTTTCGGCAAAATTTGCTCGCCCGACGGGCGCTTCGTGGACGGTTCGGTCTCGGTCGGGGCTCGTCTCTCTCGCACTTTGCGCGCCCAGGACTGCCGTCGGCGCCGCGCGACCGGCTCCGGACATCGGAGCACGCCAACGTGGACCAACTTTATGTAGCGGATCATCGCGTACCGTGCTCAAGTTCTCAAACTTTTCAGGTCGAGCCCCGTCTTTGCCTCGATGCGCGGGTCTTCAGGGCGGAGGCGACCGCGCGGCAATGGCTCGCGAGGGCCACGCACAAGCTCGGCGGCGATGTCACCATCAACGGGACTCAAAGCTTTCTCATGGGGCTGCTTCTGGTGCGATCTAGCATCCATCTGCGCGTTCTTTGTATGCGCACTTCTGATGGTTCAGAGGTGGACGGCACCGCCGCTGCCGAGGCGGGCGGCGGAGGCGGCGGAGGCGGCGGAGGCGACGACGGCGGCAGCGGCGGCGGCGGCGATGGCGGCGGCAGTGACGACGATGACGACGATGACGACGACGACGGCGATGATGATGACGAGCTCGACCTCGAGGGCCTGCCCGCGGAGCCGGACGTGCACGGGTCCTCCGAGCCGGAGGAGGTGCGCGAGATGCAGCGCATCGACGCGGTCGACGCTCGGCGGCTGGAGGACGCAATCGCGCGCCTCGAGGAGAAGGAGGAGGAGTCAGATTCAGCCGAGGGTGGCGCGGCCGAGCCGGCGGCGCCGCAGCCTCAGCGGCGCACCGACCCGACCCTCGCGCTGCCCGGCGGCGGCGTGGGATACAAGCGAGCTGTGGTCGCCGAGTTCAACCGCGTGAAGCGAGGGGGCAGGCTGTCGCGAGACCGACTCCAACGTGTACGTCAGGGCGCCAGCCAGATCCAGAAGCGGCAGGGGGCGGTGCGGCGGGGCCCCTCGGAGGCGGCGCCTGCAACCGGAGCGACGGAGCCGCCGCAGTCTGAGGCTGCGTCGAGCAGCGCGGCAGATGTCGCCGATGGCGAGGAGGAGGCGCCTCGCTATCTTCGGCCGGGAGACGACTTTGCGATGGCCTTCCTCTCGGGTCCGCTCGGAAAGCAGGTCTTCAAGTGGTGGCTTGGCCGCGTCACCACCATCTACCAGGGAGCGCAGCTGCGGCGCGAGCCCCTCCCCTTGGACAAGCTGCCAAAGGGCGTGACAGTGGTGGCCGAGTGGTACGAGCCCGTGGGAGACTCTCGAACTGAGTACCGGTACGCGACGCTGACCGCCTCGACGAGCGAGCGGCAAAAGAGGCAGCCGATGCACGCCTTCATCTCGCCCGTCTCGCTCACCTCTGACGCCGACGGCATCTACTCGCTCGTCGATGCGAAGGAGACGCTCGAATCTCTCGACGAGACGCTCGCGCTCTTGCAGGCGGCTGCGCCTAAGCCATCCTCAAAGGCTGCGAGGGATGAGGAGAGCGAGGGCTACATGGCGATGAAAGTGAACGAGCTCAAGGAACTGCTCTTCCAGCGCGGCCTCTCAAGGAGCGGCAAGAAGGCCGCGTTGATCGAGCGGCTCGAGGAATCTGACAAGGCCGCTACAGCCGGACCATCCACGTCTCGCCGCAGCTCCAAGGCGACGGCGGGGCAGCCTGACGCCGACGCGGCGGCTGCGCGCGTCGCAGCTGCTGCCACTAATGAGCGCAACGCTCGCCATGCTAGTCGTGCTGCCGCTGCTGATGCTCGTCACGCGGCTCCTGACTCAGACGCCGAGGAGGCCCGCCCGCACGCCCCCTCCTCACACTCCTCGCAGCTTGACGCCAACGCTGGAGCAGCAACGTCATCACCCGCTGAGCCATCACTCCCGCCGTCGGCGTCTCCATCGAAGCGAGAGCCGTCACCTGGGCCGGAGAGCCCGGCTCGCACGGATGATGTGCCTATGGCCGAGGCGCCAGCTGCAGCGGCGCCTGCCCCGTCCCCTCCTGATCGTGAGCCCTCTCCAGAGCAGGCTGCTGCCTCGCTCCTACCACCCGGCGCGACACCCCTCAAGGACTTTGTGGCGAAGCTGCCGGAGATCACTCTGCAGCCCGCGGCGGCGATGCTAGGCATCATCCAAGACAAACTATCGATGCGATTCTCGAGGCTGAATCCGCCCCGAGAGCTGGAGGCACAAGCCACCTTCGCGGAGGTGCGTCGCACGCAACAGGCGAGAACCACGAATACCGAATTGGTGGATGTGACGATCAACAACTACGTGGTGAACAAGGACAGCTTCGCCCGACTTCGACCGAAAGGCCTCATTTCAGAGGCAGAGCTGCGGCAGGACCTCACCTGCAACTACCTCAACGATGAGCTTGTCAATGCGTGGTTTGCCGCCCTCCACAGTAGTTTGGCCAGGGAGGATCGCCACGAGCGCAAGGTCCGTGGGATCGATGCATTGACGACAAAGAAGCTGGCTGGAACGCACGGTGAGTTTACTGTTGAGTCGGTTCGTCGGATTGTAAGGAGGCTCGACATGAGGGAGGCTCTCTTTTCTTTCTCAGCCTTGATCTTTCCGCACGTTCACAACTTTCACTGGACTTGCGTCGTCGTCGACTTTGAGTCGAGGAGCATCTTCTCAGCCGACTCGATGTCGGGTCAGCACGAGGACTTTGTCAAGCACGTGTGCGGCTTCATGGACATCGCCTCGCGCGAGCTGCGTGGCGAGCCCTTCGACTTTGGTGGCTGGGCCATCGGATCGCTCAGGGCGTGCTCCCCGAAGCAGCCAAACGCCTTCGACTGTGGCCTCTTCCCGTGTCTCATCGCACGGTGCCTCCGGCACGGCGTCAAGCTGCCGACGGCGCCGTCGCAATTTCAGATGGAGAGGTGGCGCGACGCGCACACGTACGAGCTGCTGCGGGGTGAGGTGCGCAGCTTTGTGTAGAGTGTAGGCTCGCTTCGCTCCCTCGCGGCTCGCTTCGCTCCCTCGTGGCTCGTCCGCGCCGCACTTCCCGCCTCCCGCCCGCCGGCCCGGCGCCGCGTACACGGTCACAGTCTGCTGTCTGGAGTAATGTGTCGGCGGTCAGTACGACCGATCAGGTTAGAGTTTTCCTATGGTTAGAGGGTCTATCTGTATGTACTCCTCGAGATCTCTCCAAATCTGCCCTCTACTTAACCGTACTTAATCGGGAAGTCGGTGGTATGAGCGAGTATGAGCGCCGGAGCCCCGTTTCCGCACTGCTGCGCGGCGCACGGTGCCTCCGGGGGGCCCCGCGCCCCCCCAGAGCCTGTCCTTCTCCCACCCCTCGTTTGGCGTGCCCGTTTTATTTATTTATTTATGACGTCCTCCCATCCTCTGTCGAGGTTCTCGAGGTGGATATCCTTTGGCCGCGTTGGGTAGCGAGGATTGGTGTGACGCGATCCATGTGGTTTCTGACGGCCGACCGTCAGTGCACGGTTCCTCCCATCCCTCCTTTGGGTTTGTATGTCCTTTCTTTACTGGGCACGGGACTGGCGCCTGACTGGCGCGCACTTGCACTAACACAGGTACACCATGAAGAAGAATTCAACGTAAAACACTGGGGACGGGTCTGGCCCCTGGGCGCCGCACTACCGCCACTGGCACCAACTGTAAAACACAGACAGGTACACACACTGAAAGAAGAATTTCATGACAGTTTGCGGGCAGTCTCCAAGGGTGTCACGCGTGTTCGTGTTCGCGTCGCCCTCGGAGTCGGTGACGGTGTACGGCGTGTGAGCACGGGAGGGTGTGTGACGGCCTGGGACGCCCTGTCGCTGTCCGCTCTCACCGCTGCATGGTCCGCTGTCGGTCGGCTGTTCATTTGTCAATTTCCTCCCTGCCACCCCCTGTGCGGTGTCCGGTGTGCGGTGTGCCGCGGCTCCGCCTCCGGCTGGCGCCGGCTGCTGCGCTGCTGCCGCGTGACCAGTTTTAGCAGTTTGGACCGTCCACATACCACAAGAATGAATGAACGGCCTCTCTAGTTTCTTAACGAGTCAGATTGCCCGTCCCCCGGCGCGACATTCTACGTATATGCGCCCCGGCCGTGTACTGACGGAAAGAGCCGCGCCGCGCTGAGCGACTCGCGGCCCAGTCGGTAACGCAATACCACGCAACCTGGAGCAGCGGTGCGCGGCGCCCAAATTGTGTGTACGATGCAAGGAGAGAAAGTCCCCCCCTCCCCCCTCCCCCGCCCGCGCGAGCTCGTGGTGGCGCGGGGAGAGAGCGAGGGCGAGGCTCGGGGAGCGGAGAGCGGCTGGCTAGGTATTCGGGCAGGAGGACGGGCGTGGGGGAGTGCCCGGCCTCAGCTCACGCCACCTGGAAAGGGCAGGGGCAAGGATCAGGGAAGCGTCTCCGCGCGCTCGCGCGGGGACAGGACAGTTCTGGCCGCCCCCGCTGTCAGTGTGAGGCCCGAGGTGCGCGTGGTGGAGTGCGGCGCCCCCCTGGCTCCTCTCGAGGGGTGGCGGCTACCGCGGCTCAGGGAGGGGGCGAGCCGTCTGCTCGACCCCAAGGCACTGGGCTACACGAGGCGCCTTCTTCGTCCTCGAGCGGGTCGACATGGCGGGGCTCGCCATCGGGTTGTTGACCTTTGGCCCAGCGCCGGCGCCCTTCTTGCCGAGGAGCTCGTCGATGACCGAATAGATGAAGACGCCCGCGATCGCCGTCGATGCGCCCACCTTCTCCTCGAGCTTGAGCGGGTTGCCTGTGGGGACATGTCTCGGACGTGTCCAGGACATGGCCCGGGGCGCGCCCCTCTCCCTCGCTCCGGGCGGGATGCCCAGCGCGATGGCCATGCCGACGATGACGATGGCGCGCTTGGCCGTGTTTGCGACGGACGCGGTGACCGCGCCGGTGGCCTTGAGGTGGCGGAAGAGATCAGGGGAGATGTGGGGAGATGTGGGGGAGATGTGGGGGAGATTGCACCTTGATGGTCATGGTTGCGAGCTTATGGGGAGATGTGGGGGAGATGTGGGGAGATGTGGGGAGATGTGGCGGTGGCCTTGATGGTCATGGTTGCGAGCTTATGGGGAGATGTGGGGAGATGTGGGGAGATGTGGCGGTGGCCTTGATGGTCATGGTTGCGAGCTATGGGGAGATGTGGGGAGATGTGGGGAGATGTGGCGGTGGCCTTGATGGTCATGGTTGCGAGCTTATGGGGAGATGTGGGGAGATGTGGGGAGATGTGGGGAGATGTGGGGAGATGTGGCGGTGGCCTTGATGGTCATGGTTGCGAGCTCGTTGTAGAGGTAGAATGTGATGCCCGAGAGGCACAAGTTCCACCTACTCGAGAGTGACGCGAGGGTGGCCCGAGGGCGAACCGAGGGTGGCCCGAGATGCCCACATGCACAGCGCCCCACCGGAAGGCGTCGTCGTTGGTGAAGAGGTCGACGAACTTGGGCCAGTTGGCGCCCTCGGACAGGACCATACACGGCACCTGCGCCGGCCAAGTCTCGGGTCCTCTCGCGGAGTCTCGGGCCCTCTCGGACAGCACCACGCTGGCATGGCGCCAGGAAGACAAGCGAGAGGACGTTGGTGAGGGCGAACTGGTTCCCCACGCCGCCGATCCTGTCCTTAAGGCCGGGCGCGGCCATCGCCTGCGGTCTTGTGTGCGTTTCGTGAGCGCGGGCGACTGCGGTCTCGCGCGCTAACTTGCGAGCGTCGCGTGAAGTAGGATGCGTCTGTGCCCTCCATCTAGGCCCTCGCCCTGTGGTTCTCGGACCCCTTGAACGCGGCAAAGACGTTGTTGACGGAGCCAAAGGCGAGCACGTACAGATCGAGCGGCACCTGGGTGCTCGCGTCGCCTCGCGTCAGCTCGCGCCACCTCGCGCCATCTGCGAGGGCGATCTCGGGCGATCTCGGGCCATCTCTACATCTCGCCGCATCTCGCCGGCACCGAGTACGATCCGTCGCTCTCCTTTTTAAGCGTCGAGATGGCGACGCCGCCGACAATCACCGGCAGCACGCACCACTTTGCGAGCGAGGGCGACTTGGCGTAGAAGAGGGTGTTGATGACGGCGGCAAAGACCGGCTCCGCGGCCTACGCTCACGGCGACCGCTCACGGGCCCTCGTGGAACAACCTCGTGGTAGCGAGCGAGCACAGGCGGCGGCACGGGCTGCCAGCTCCTCGGGAAAGGAAAGGGGGAAGAGAGGGGGGGGGGGGGGGGGGAAACCGCGGGCGCGGGCGGCGGCGGTGGATCGGCGGTGGCGCGGTGTTGGCGGCAGCGGTGGCGGCGGTGGAGAAGGCGGTGGTGGTGGCTCTGGTGGCGCCGTGGTATAGTGGCGGGCGGAGGCGACCTTGACAATTTGTCCAAAGGCAGGCGAGCCGGCGGTAAGGGCGACGACTCCCGCAGTGTGGGCAAAGGCGTAGCAGAAGGTGAGCGGGAGGAGGCTGATGACGTCCGCCTTGGTGATGGCCGGCAGCGGCTGCGGCGCAGGCGCCTTCAGCCCCAGCAGCGGCGTCGGGTTGCGCCGGATCAGCCACAGGCCCATTGCCCACGCGGCGCACACGACAATCTGCATGACCGAGATGGTGACCGTGAGGCCGCCGTCCTTGCCGCCCGCCTTCATCGAGGCCTGCTTGTTGTAGAGATTGTAGTAGTAGTTGCCGACGAACCTGCTCGGCGCGCAGCGGCTGTCAGCGTGTGTGGTGGGAGCCGAGAGTGGCTGCAACGACCGGGCTCCGGGCGAGCGGTCACCAGAAGACGTACAGCAGCACTAGGGCCAGCTTGTCGGCCATCGAGGAGGATTTCGCCATATTTGTATACCTCTGCAGCTACCTGCCGCGCAGGCTCACTACAGTTGTAAAATAAGAAATACCGCGAAGTGCTCCAAGTGCTCCAAGTGCGCCGCGAGCTGGGAGAGGACCGCCGCAAGCGGCGTGGCGTGGAGCGGTTGTGCAGCCCTCCGGGGGCCCCTCTGCGCCGGGGAGGCGTTGTTGGAGGCTAGGACGCAAGCGTCCGTTTTTCAAACTCGGGGCCCACTCCCCGCAACACAAACAAAAATCTCTCTAAAATCTCTCTCTCTCCCCGCTACGCTCCGACCCGAATTTGGAGGGCCTGAAAAGTTTAAGGTGTTGCTGCGCAAAAGAGGTCGGACACACGGCGCAGCTCATGCTAAGAGCCAGAAGGGGAGCTAGAGAGAACGACTACCCTGTCCCGTTATTGCGTACACCAACACCACAAAAGCTCTCTCTCCTGTCCTCACTCAGGGGGGGTAACAACTTCAACTACCGAGTCCCTCGACTAGCTGCCACGTTGCCGACCGAGAGCGGAACTCCTCCTGCTCCGCAAGGAGGGTGGCCAAGGCTAAAGTCTTGCCGGAGCCGCCGGGCGCGTTGACGACTTGGAGAAGGTCGCCCTTGCACTTGTACTTGTAGAGAGATGCTCGAGGGGGTGCTTTGTGGGGCGGTGCGCAGCCAGGCCAGCAGTGAGGGGAGGCGCACCCTCACTCTCCTCGGTTGCAGAGCTCGTCGGAGGCTGCGGCACGACGGGAAGGTCGCGACAGCAGTCCTCGGGCGAGCCGACGCGCATGTCCAACCAGCGCTGGGACTCGTTGTGACGGCAGACGCCGGCTGCCTCTCCAACCGCTTCTGCAGCGTCCTTCTTTGCCCGGTGCATGGGCTCGATCCGATTCCGCAGCGTGTCGGTCCCCAGCGGCGGTGCTGCGCGGGAGGCGGGGAGGGAGAGAGATTGTTTGTTTGGAGGCGGCCGCGGGCACGCTCGGCTCGATCGATCAGCTTTCCCTCAGTTGCTTAGGCCACCCTCATATCTTGCGCTCAAAAACGTTTGGATACTAGGAAAGCTGATGAAGCTGTGGGGCTCGATTTCTCTTTACACGGCGAATAATAATCGATAATAAACACCCGGACGCGTCCAGACCAGTCGCAAAAGGGACGCCCCTGACCCGCACCTGTCCAGCTGTCCTGCCATCGAATGACTCCGAATGACTCACTGTGTGTGCTAAGACAGAATCTCCGCAGACATCCAAAACGTCGTATCTGTGCTCGTAGGTGCCCCAGCCCGAGGCCGCGTACCGGGAGATCAAGCGATACGATGGGCACCGCACGGACGCGCTTAGCCGTCTCTTCCGAGTAGTGCTAGACGAGACGCCGCCGGTCCCAGCCGCCGTTGTGGCCGAGCAGGCCCGCCGCGAGCGCGGCCGCGCACGCCGCCGCCGCCGTCGCGGCCGGGGGTGAGGGGAGCGGACGGGGATGGCCGTCGGTGAGCACCGGACGCGAGGGGCGGTCGGCTTTCTTTGTTTCATAACATCGAAGGCTAGCTCATAAAAACACCCGGACGCGTCCGCAGGCGGCCAGGACCAGACCTGGACGCACCTTACCCGTACCCCTGCCGCGGCGACGCTCGAGTCGCTGCGGCTCTCATGCGATGACGCGCCCGAGTCTGTATAAGGTCGTCGCGACCGATCGCTGGGAGGCCTTCTTCGTCGATGGGCTCACGGTCTGCGGCACACCGTGCGCCGTCGCCCAGACCTCAACTGCGTTGCACACGGCGCTCCTCCAGCTCACTCGTTCGGACTTCATTTGGAACAAGCTAACTCCGACTGTCTGGATCTTGGAGGCGCGGGCTCTTGCGCAGTTCCACACCGCCACCGCCGAACGGGCCACCGTGGACGAGGAGCGACCGCCTCCCGACAACAACAGTGATGACGATGACGGCATGGACGAGGAGGTCTTCGACCTCTTTGACTGAGAGAGGCAGCAGGCCTCCCGAAAGCAGCAAGGCGGGTTGGAGCATGGGCCACTCCATTGGGAAGGGATGCGCGACTTAACACGAGCACGCCCTCGGCGGGGAATACATTCGGCATGAGTTTCCGGCACCAACTTGATTCGTAGATCGGTCTCACGGCCGGGCCGCGGGACGGGGAGGGAGGGGGGTCGATCCGTAAATCCGTAATTCCGTAAATTTGTAACGAAAAGCCACCAGGAGTCCCCCACCACACCCATCCACCAGGCAGATAGAGACACAGCACTCGCGACACGCTGAGAAGCCGGAGGCTGGCCTCTCCAACGCTCGCGCAACGCTGTCTGCACGTGCGCAGCTCTGGGGTCCGGGCGGCCCAGGCCACACGGTGGGAGGGTCAACCACCGTACGACTGTAACGCTACGTATATCTCTTAACAATCACTATATTCGTGCTTGCCGAGCTGCGCCTCTGCGAGTGCGACTATCAACCCCTCACGCGTGTGCATAATCCCCTCTCCATCTTGTTGTACAGCGCCTTGACCTCTCCGCCTCGCTGCGGCATCAGCGCGCCTCGCCTCTGCCTCCATCGAAATCTGCAGCGCGTCGAGCTGCTCGCGCAGCTCAGCCTGCATCTTGGCACGCATCTCGCCGATACGCCACTCAAAATCAGCTCGAGCTGCGGGTGGCGGCCCATAGGGGGAGGGGGAGACGCCGATCTACGAATCAAGTTGGTGCCGGTTTCTGTCTGAACCCAGAGTCATTCATGTTGTGGTACGAAACTGGCTGGGCTGGCTAAGTATGGTAGCTTGGACGCTGTTTACAAGGCTCGAGTAAGTTTGCCTTTTTCTTTTTAGCGAGCGGGGGTCGGTCGTGGCGAGCGGCTCTTTAGCGGATGCGGTGCTGCACTCTCTCTCGGCTCGCGATTGCGCGTGTGCGCATCCCGTCACGAGGCCACATTACATCGTTAAACCAAAGTTGATTTTGAATATATCCCTGACTCGTGGTGACCCCCCAAAACACAGCGGGCACACCCACCAACCCCAGCCCCCAGCCCCCCACCCCACCCGAGAGCCGCCTGCGAGAGCCTACAAGACGACGACCCTCTCCTGCTTTTCCGCCCGCTCGGATAGTGGACCCGCCGCGCCCGCTCGAATCTCGACGCCCGCAGAGCCATCAGCGGACACAGCCGAGTGGATTGACAAGCCTCTCGCAAGCCGTATCTCGATGCCGTCGGCTCGCTTCGCCATCCGGCGCAAGCGGCTCCCTCTCGAAACCAATGCCGCTGTGACCAGCGAGATGACGCCGAGGATGGCGATGCAGGCCTCGAGGACAGTGGTGGCGACCGCGCTGGGCGGCGGCGGCGGCGGCGGTGGCGGTGGCGACAAGGGTGGCAGTGGCGGCTCGAGCGGCGGCGGCGCGAGCGGCGGCACCGCCGCTGCCGCCGCCCTCCCCCTCCTGGCTTGAATGGGACGAGGCAGCAGTCCTGCTCATTCCCCCGGCACTTTTCGCCGTGTGTGGGGTGGCGTTGCGGTTGCTCAGGCCTGGTGTTGCTGACAAGCCAAGGGGTGGCTCACAAGGGGTGCGAATGGCGCGTGCGATGTCTACCACAGTGAGGGCGGCCAGGTACGACGGGAAGGCCGCGCCACGGCTGGAAAGGGAGAGTCTGATCTCGGACGGGGAGGCGATCATGTGACCGAGTCATATCAGAGTTACAGCAGCGCGTTGGGGGTGCGAGAGAGAGCAGGCGAGAGCCGCGAGATCTGGATTCTGCGCGGTGGGCAGCTCGATCGGCGTGTCTGGCACACCGGCACCGGCGCCGGTGCCGGTGCCGGTGTAGCGGCTCTGTTCCGGAGGCGGTGACTAGCGATAGAGCTTCGCACTTTCACAGAAACGGGGTGCCGTTGAGCGTTGTGTTGACGGGTTGACGCTCCGCGACGTCGTACACGTATACGGTGCACGATGAGAAACCAGCGACGGGGCAGGTTGCGTTCGTTTGTCACTCGCCATGCGCGTCCTTGGCTGACCCTCCAAAACTCCCTCCCCGCCGTTCGCGGCTCGGCTTGCGTATGCGGATGGGAGCTTCGAGGACATGCAGGCGTCCCACCCCCTCCGGCCATCCCCCCGGCTCCCAAGCGCGCGGCCGCGACGCGCTGCGCACCCTCTTCCGCGCTGGACCCGCTCTCGGCATGGCCGTCGTCCGCCGAGATCACCTCCTCTTCGCGCCGCAGGTGCACAACCAAGGGCTGGCCACCTCCGTATCCATCATGGTGAAGCCAATGGGCCAAAAAGGGAGAGCGCTCCCCTCCCAGGTGGCCGGAGGGTACACCTCGGGTCGGCGTGCTGGGGGGGGCGCCGGTGCGCAAGCCCACTTTCCGGGCGACCCCGAGGGGGAGGAGGCCGGGCGAGTGGCAGCAACTCACTGTTAGTGTCCCGGGCCGCTGCGGCACCGTTTATACGGCCCCTCGTGATGTCTTTCCGATTTTGCATTGTGAGTCGTCCTCTGGCCAGCCGAGGGGCACCAGAACGGCATGTGTACTGGTGCTGGCTGCGGGTGCGGAACGGGCTTTTTTTAACTCGCAACCAACTATACTATACAAGGACACCCTCGGGGGAGACACTCGGCGCATGTGCGTCACGTCAGGGTGGAGTTGGCAGTGGCCGAGCGTCGTCTCCCAATCGACTCGCAGCGCGGAGTCGAGGGGTGAAGCGCGTCGCGCTGCGACACTCGAGAGCCGGCGGGATAGCCGTGGGGCGCGGCCGACTTTGATGTCCTCGAAGGTCCGGTGCTCATTCGTCCTCTGAGACCCACGCGGACAGGAAAGGGGCGAGAACGCGGCCATTCTCCATTGACAATCTAACGCAACCTTGAGCTAGCCCGTTCCACACAGTGTGTAGCTGCGAACAATTTCGCAGATCATATACTTATTAAACGCCTCTCTCTCGCTCTCCTCTTTTCACACTCGCTCTCGTCAGAGCTCACGCTCGCGTTAGAGCTTGGCGGGGAAAAGGTGAAACTGCTCGAGCCGCCGCCGCTCGCGGATGGCCTCCACCTCTTCCTCTCCCCACCGCGTCACGTCGTCCTCGCCCGCCACGTACAGGCGCTTGTTGGAGTACCCCGGGTGGCGGCCCTTGTACGTGTCGAAGATGCGCTGCAGCTCCGCGGTGAACTCGGCGTGGAGCGCGTCGATCTGCTCGGCGGTGGGCGCCTCCACGGGCGCCACGTCCAGATTGATTGGCCGGCCGACGACGACGGTCAGCGGGTTCTGCAGCGGCACAAAGGGGGAGAGCCACGAGCGGCCGACAAATGGGATGAGAGAGACACGCAGCGCGCGAGAGAGGCGGCGCATCAGCTGCTGCAGCCGGCCCGAGAAGGTGTAGAAGAGCTGTGTCTGCCCGAAGATGTAGACGGGCACGATGGGAGAGCCGGCGCGAAGCGCGTGCCTGGCGCGTGAGCACAGGCAAGTGTCAACGGCAAGTGTCTTGAAGACAGCCGAGTGTCTTCTGAAGTGCGCGTTGGAAACAGACGGGTCTATAGCCCGCATCTGGGCGGCGCGTGCTTGCAGAACCCCTTCCGGTTCGCAAGCTGGACGACCTCGTAGTCCGGGTCGTTGAGAAACATCTCGGCGATGCCGCCGGGCACGAGGAAGGTGGAGCAGCCCGGCGAGCGGAGCCGCCGGAGCAGGTTGCGCGCAGTCGCAGGCTCGAGGCCGGCCATGGAGAGCCACTGCCGTAGAAGAGGCAGCCGAAAGAGGACCGATGCGCCTTGGGGAAGTGTGTGTGTGTGTTGGTGGGTGAAGCATTCAGAAGAGGAAGAGGTGGAGAGGGGGGGTCGAAGAGGAAATGGCGCGCCGAGCCCTCCGAGCGGGTGGCCACGCCGCAACCTCTCGAGCCAGAGCAGCACCACGCCTGCTCGCAAGCCTCCTGGTCCGCGCGCGGGCTCGCTCCTCGCGGCCTCGCGAGCCAGAGCTGCGCGACGCCGTACGGGACGATGCCGTGCGGGAAGCAGGCGTAGAGGAGACCGGCGTCGCGCGTTGGCAGCGACTCGCAAGGCACCTATCTCGGCGACTCTCGGCACCTCTCGGGGAGTCTCGGGTGACCTCGGGTGACCTCGGGTGACCTCGGGTGACCTCGGGTGACCTCGGGTGACCTCGGGTGACCTCGGGTGATCTCGGGTGATCTCGGGTGACCTCGGGTGACCTCGGGTGATCTCGGCGAGCCTCGCCTCCTCGATGAGCTCAAAGGAGTGGTACTCCTGCAACAGCGACCCGAGCCCAGAGTGGAGGAGCAGCGAGCGCAACAACCCGTACTTTGGGCGCGGCAGGCGCGTGCGGCTGAGAGCGAGTAGCCCGCCGACGGCGCCGAGGAGGAGGGCGCGCAGGCGCCGCCGCCTTGCGGGCAGCCGCAGCGCGGCCGCCGCGAGGGCGGGCAGTGCCGCCGGGATGAGGTAGAGGAACTGCAGTCCTGTGGTGACTAGCGCCGCGGCCGCCTGTGAACAAGAGGAGACTCGTATGCAGCGCGCGAGGTCCGCACGTGCGCGTGCACACTCACATCTGCAGCACGTGCTGGCAGAGGAGGAGAGTAGCACGCATCACGCACAGGGGCCATGCAGAGCTTGGGGCGGCAGGCTCCTCGCCTGCAGCCGGAGCTGGTGCGCCGCCCCGCCGGCGGCGGCGAGCAGGCGCGGCGCGACCACCGAAGGGAGGCCGTGGCGCCACCGGCGGTAAGCCTTGTGCAGCGCGAAATGCGACGCGAGCCAGCCGACGGAGAGGGCGGCGTCGGCGGCGGTGACGAGCTTGCGGGGCAGCATCGCGGGCTGGTGTAGCTCGGGGCGGGTGGAGAGGGTGGCGCGCAAGTAGAGGGGCGTGGCGATGGCCTTGGCGCCGACCAGAGAGAGGAGGCCGCACAGGCGGAGCAGGCGGAAGGGGTACGAGGAGAGGGGCTCGCCGAGGTGCTCCAGAGCCTGCGGTGTGAGTACGCCAACATGATGGCGGGAGGGCGGTCTCGTGCAGAGTCTTGAGCGCGTGAGCACGAGGGGGGTGCGAGTGCAGTGAGGACAGCCGAACACGGCCGCGTACAGCGGAGTGCGTGTCCTCTCGAGCGCGGTTGTTGGAGTGCATGGATACGTAGTCCGCTTCTAGGGACCAGGGCGGAGCAGGCCGAGAGGAAGAGTTGCGGAAGGCAGCGGAGGGCGCCTGAGATAAAGAGATGCGGGGAGATGTGGGGAGATGTGGGGAGATGTGGGGAGATGTGGGGAGATGTGGGGAGATGTGCGCCGGAGAGCGGGACGATCCAAGCGACGTCCCGTGAGCGCAGCTGCGCCGACACACCGACGAGCTCGCCGAGGCACTGCAGCGTGACCAGCGGGTGCGTCCAGATGGACGAGAGGGAGAGGAGGACGTACAGGTGGTAGCCAGCGGAGAGGCACAGCGCCCGCGTGGCGCCGCCGCCGTCACGGTACAGGGAGCGGAGGCCTACGGAAGTGTCTCGGAAGTGTCTCGGAAGTGTCGCGGTACAGGGGTACAGGGAGCGGAGGCCTCCGTGGTGAGGACACTAGCATGAGGGCGGGAGTACGGTGGTGTGCAGTGTATCAATACGAGGGGAGGCGAATACAGTGAACACAGCTGAATACGGCGGAATCCGGCTGGCTGCGTGTCATCGCGAGAGCTCTCTGGGATACCTTAAGGTACAAGAGTCGTCTTCTGCTTCTAGACGCGGAGGCCCTTCCTGGCAGCCAGCAGCAGCTTGCGCGCGCCAATCGTCACCCACGCGCCGTGGTGCAGCAGCGACAGGATGTACAGCTCAAGCGTGCGCGCACGCAGCAGCGCAGAGCCGGGACGGTCGTCGAGGCGGCGTGCCTCGCTGTGCGTCACGGCGAGCTTCTCTAGCAACTCACGGATGAGCAGCCGCAGCGCGTGGCAGGCTGCGGCGCCGCAGGCCGCCGCGGCGGCGACACCGCCGGCGGACAGCGCGGTGCCCTTCTCGTCGAGAAGCGAGGGCGCGAGAGCCTGGACGACGCGAAGGCTCTGTGCGTGCTTTAGACTCCTCCTCGGCTTCTCGGGCGTATCGTCGTGGTCCCGCGAGTCTTCAGACTCCTCCTCCGCCGCCGAGACGATCGGAGAACCGTCGGCCGTCGTGTGCTGCTCCCACATCGACAGGTCGTGGAAGGAGCCGACCCGCAGGATGCTCTCTCCCGCCTCGAGCAGCATGTTCTTCTGCGAGTTGGTGCGCGAGTTCATCCCGATGGAGATGACTGCGGGGTGGATGGTGTGCACGGTGGCCGATGGATGGCACGTACGGTGCTAGGCCGACCCACTCGCAGCGAACGACCGCGGGCTGCGCGACTCTGGGCTTGGCAGCAGGAGCACACAAGCGGGAAGCAGAATTCTGCGACAGTGGCGCGATCCTGGGCGCGATCGTTTTCGTGTGCTAAAATTCCTGTGTCGAGGCCTGTGTGCTGTGAGAGAGAGTTCGTTGTTTAAATTCTTATTCGGTAAGAATGCGGCCTGAAACTTTGGGTGGCATTGCGCTAGCGCATCACACCCTCCTCTCCTTAAAATCCCTGTGTGGTGGCGGCGTGCCGTTCTCCCATCCCTCCCTTGGGTTGTGTGTTTTCTTTCTTTCTTTCTGCGCGGTGTATGGGGCGGCGGCGTCGAGCGCCTCCTACTTCCTTCCTTTGTCGTTCGACGTTCCCATAAAGAGAGAGAACTTTTTAGCAATACCAAACTCATTAGGGCATGGAACCCTCTTCAGTAGGGCCGTGCGGTCGACGCTGCCGCGCGCGACTTTGCGCGCGAGGCGGCGCAGCTTGAGAACGGCGGTGGGCGAGAAGCCGCCGCCGACGTCTCGTGGAGCAGCAGGTTGAAGTTGTTCCGCTTGACAAAGATCGCGTCGTGGTAGAAACCGCGATGCGCCTTGACGTAGCCGTGGCCGTTCTTGTGGGAGAAGGGTTGGCCGGGCTGTGCCCGCGCGCCTTGCAGCCCATGTTCAGGCGACGGGCCTTCTCCGCTCGGTGCTGCCGAAGGCGTAGGAGTGGCCAACGGAGGCGGGCGTGCCGCCGCTCGAGGCGTTGCCAACGCCCGCCGAGGAGGTCTTGAGGAGGGGCGTCCAGAGCTTGACTTCATTCACTTCATCGCATCCCCCCGGCCCTGCATGGGGTTCTGCGAGGTCGACCTTGTACCCCTCATTGTACTGCCGGGTGAGCTCCGGTTTCTCCTTGTCACCGTGCACGACCGGCGCGTTGGCCGGGGCGCGCATCGCGTCCGCCCAGGCGGCGAGGACGCCGTCGTGGGGCCGCCGGTGGTGGGCCTTGTTGTAAAGGTAGTCGCCGAAGAAAAATCGACAGGCATGCCCCGCTCGAGCGCGACCCGAAGGGTGGGAAGCGCCGCGGAGAGCCAAAGGCCGAGCTTCCGCTGGAGCTCCTCCTGGAGGGTGTCGGAGGAGAGGGCGGTGGCGTACGTACCGTCGACACGGACATCGAGGGCCTTGCCAGCGAAAGGCGTTGAGGCGGAGATGAGGCGCGTGGCCTCGCGGTTGTTGACGGCGCTGTCTCCGAGGGACGGGTTGTTCTTGACGTGCACATCCCGCGCCTTGACGAGCTCCTGGTGCGCGTACCAGTCCTTGTGATTCTTGATGGCAGCGAGCGCCCGCGGCCGCGGGTACGTGGATTTGCAAGTGCCATTGAGAATCGCGTCGGTAGCTGGAAGGGACTCGGGCTCGGGGAGCGGGATGCGCTCTTGGGGTAAAACTCAGTCAGGTAGCCGCCGCGGACGGTGTAGTAGCTAGTACTTGTTTTTGTCGCGGGCGGCGCGCTTCTCGCACACCTCCTTCCAGTCCGAGAGGGCGGACTCATAGGTGGCGATAGTTGCGGCGATGGCGGGGTACTTGGACGCACCTCCCTCGTCGAGGGCGAGAAGTCGGGGTTGTGGGCGACGAGGGTGCGCCAGTTCTTGAGGAGCGACATGGAGAAGTCGCTGTCGGCTCGCGTGAAGGCGGTGTCGATGTTGCACCCGCCCATCTCGGTCGGCAGCTGTGCCTGGAGCCACGCGAGGTCGCGGAGCGCCTGGGGCGAGGCGTCGGCGCGAGCAATGCTCTCAAAGGACTCATTTTGTTTTTGTTTTGCACATAACGCAAAAACAAACAAAACACAAATCTCTCTAAACGCACAACCCCGGGCCCCGAAATCGCACAGTGACAGTCAGATTGTCGTTCACCACACGCAGCAGATCTCCATGGCGGCGGTGGCGGGCGACGCCGACAACATCAACAAGCAGGCGCGCTAGACGCGCATCAACTGCGGAACTGGGAACTGGCTCAAGTCCCCTTTAAGCGGGCCAACTGGGTCAAGAACAAGCAACTTCGGCAAACGGCCTCTTGTCCTCGGCCCCAGTGGGGGGTGTCTGCGCCGCCTAGCTCTGAGAGATTTTTAGCAATACCAAACGGGCACCTCCACCCTTCACCACCCTTCACGTACGGATCATGTAGTCCCCACAATCGCGGTCGTGGGATCACTTGTCATTCATGTGAGAGAGTCTTGTTAGTAGAGCCGAGCACTTGGAGCACTTGGAGTGCAGTCATTAGCGGTGAACCTTCTTTTCTAGACCGGAAGGATTGAGAGCAGCCTCGCTCTCAATCCTAGAAGTCGAAGGATTGTGAGCAGCACTCCTCGCAATCGTAGCATCTCTGTGCGATTGCGAGCGCCGGCGCTCGCAATCCTACATCTTCTAGGACTAAGAGCAGCTCCGCTCCCAAGGTGACTGGTGACGCCTACGACTACTGCCAGAGCGCTCGCAATCCTAGCAAAGTCTAGGATTGCGAGCAGCACTGCTCACAATCCTAGCAACATGCCTCCGATTGCGAGCAGTGCTGCTCACAATCCTACATCTTGTCGAACTATGAGCGGCGGCGCTCACAATCGTACCCAAGATCTAAGGATTGCGAGCGGGTTACCTCGCAATC